GAAGAATTATCAATGGTGATCATATGAGCAAAATCTCTCAGAAATATTTCTCTTTGTGTCCACTGGACTATACCTACAGATTTATTGTTATTAAGCCGAAGACAATGGCTAGAAGAAAATTGAGAAACTCTTTCTAAATCATAATTAATTGCAGCCACTGCCTGTTTAAACTCATCAGGCTTAAAGAATAAGTAGATCTGAGTGTCATCAGCAAAATAGTGCTGATTACAGGAGAGAAAATGAGCTGGAAAGTTTGAAATATATATACTAAATAATTTGGGACCCAATATAGAGCCCTGTGGTACCCCTTTATTTGATTTAAGATAGTTCGATGTCTTACCATTGTAATGAATAGCTTGACTTCTATTATTGAGATAACTGAAATAGCATATTCAGATGCCTGCTTAGACATACCAATATACTTAAAACATTGAAATCAACAGAGAATGGTCAAGCGTATCAAAAGCTTTGGAATAATCCAAAAGAATCAGCACTGTAATTAAGCCATTATCGCAACCACCAAATATGTCATCAGTTATTTTTAAAAGGCACTAGTGTAGCCGTGATCGTTTTTGAAACCGGACTGATTTTCTGGGAGAATTTTATGTTTATCTAAGTGAACCTGTAGTTGCTGATTTAAAATTTTCTCTAGGATTTTTGAAAAAGTAGGTAGTACTAATCGGCCGTATTTCATTAAAATCTGTCGGATTATTAGATTTTCGGTATCGGTACAATTTTAGCAACTTTCCACATCGATGGAAACTCTGCTCTTATAATGCAAACATTGATAATATGCGTCAAATACGGTAATAAAAACGGAAGGCACATATTAATTGTTAGTATAATTTATTTTGTCGCATCCGGTAGCAGCACTCTTGATACTTTTAATGACATTTAAAACGTCACTTTCTTGGACACAAGAGAAATTTGCACCGGTGTCCACACGAAAATTATTATTATAAAAGTTGTTAATTATTAAATCAGGATTCATATTAGGAATACAATTTATAAAGTATTCATTCATTGCAGAAATATCACTTAAATTTTCTGATAGTTGCTTATTATTATCAGTATCTCTACCAAGACCTATCATTTTTAAAGAATCCCAAAGATCTCTCCCGTTTTTATTATCCAATTTGTTTGAATAAAAGGCTTTTTTTTCTCTTCTGACAGCTAAGGTAAACATATTTCTAATCGTTTTTGTATTCCTCCCAAGTTTGCATGTTTTTGTATTTTTTGTACGTACTCAGTATTTTGTCCCTTTCTCTTTTCATAATACGTAAAGAATCAGTCATCCATAGTGCATAATTTTTCGAAATTTTATAAGTTACGTAGGGAGCATGATGATCCAGTTAGCATATTATATTATTAGTAAGAAATTCATTTTCTCATCAATACTCTCAATATCAAAAATATTTCGCCAAGGTAGAGACTGTAATTCCTCATAAAATATGGTATGATCTATTGCCTTAAAGTTTCTGACAGTTTTATAAACAACTTCTTTCTTTTTAGTTTAGTTTTGACGAAATCGATTTGCAGCTTCCATGATTCTATTCCTTAGGTTAATAATTGGTTCGGAATATACGTACCCTTTCATAAAACCCCAGAAGCAAAAGTGAATTGGGTTAAGATCTGCACCTCTGGGTGGCCAAGAAATAGGCGCATCAGAGTTCCTTCCAATCCAACATCCAGGATACTGATCGAAAAGACATTCTCCTATTAGAACCATCATGTAAAAACCAAAACCACATATTCTTCCTGACTATGAGATTGACCTCATCTAAGTACTCTGGTAACACGTTTTGTAGAAAGTGTAAATAATTTACACCGTATAAATTGCTTGGAAGAAATACTGACCCTATTAGGTTAATTATCCACAATTCCTGCCCAAACATTGACTTTAAAGTTTCTATGGTGATAATTGATATAAGGTTGAATGCTCGAATAAATGAACTTTGATAAAATGAAAGGCAGATATCGAGCACTGTTTTATTTATTAAATCTTGCCCAAGTACTTTCGCTTCCTAGAGCATCTTCAGGGGCATTTCGTCAAATTTTGGGCTATCCAACAATTGCAGAATGTCATAAACTTAAAATTAAACATAAAATTGAACATAATACTACACTAAACAAGGACAAACAGTTTAAAATTATTTAAAGGTAGTGGAAGCTACGTTCTGGTGGGCAACAGGAGAGAAAATCATTCTCCAGGAAATCTTATGAATTCGATCAAATATGATGTTATTGGAACACTGAATTGCTGCCACTTTTTTGCTGCATCTTCTCCGAGTACGCAACTGTCGATACGTGCAATACATGGTTTGATTAAATTCTCTGTAATTGTGTGTGATTTACCAGCAGGAGCATTTCTGTAACTTAGGAATGATGCTTGTGTTGCGTTTTCATGATCTGTTTTAACATATCTCTGTAAAGCAGCCATACCGGTTTTATGTACTTCTTTGTGTCTTTCAAAAAAGCTTACACTTTTATCTTTCAGTTGCGGATGGTTGGTGTCAAGATGCCGTTTAAGCTTTGCGGGTACAAGAGAGATATTGCACATAATTTTACTGCAAATAACGCATTGTGCATCTGGATTCTTAACAATTCCTACAGGAATAAATCCGAAGGACAAGTCGGATTCACCATATTTTCTCTTTTTTGAAATAATTCTCTCCTTAGAGTCAGCCTTTTTGTTGGTCGGTGTATTTTGTCGGTCTTGTCCAGCACCAGGGTCTTCCGTATTTACTTCCGTACTCTCTAATAAATTGTTAATGATCAGCTAATGACATTGATAAATAACCAGCAACAACAATAAATAAACTTTATAAATAATAAACAACAAAAATATTAAATGAACAGAAAAAGCGGTCATCGGTAAGACTTTATTAAATAGGTTAGGTAAATAAAACTTCCTTATAGAACAACCAGCAATGGCTTCTTCTGACATATTTTCGAAAATGTTTGAAAACACTTTTGCTACTTGCAAGACGTCCCGTTTTGAGCCAATTATTCATTATTTATAAACTGAAACAAAAAGGAAAACCTTAATTTGCATTTGCATTTGATTTCAAACAGTGTGCTTAAAAATGTTTACGATTAAGCAAAAACTTAATCGAAAATTCCAGATTAAGAGAAGAAAAATTAATATCACTGTAACCTCTTTTCTTTACATTGCACCAATAACATGAACACATCTAGTTTTGTATCGCGGTAATTGACACGCTCGCGCGAGCTAAACGACCCCCGCGTAACGTTGCGATGCGCAACTCACCTCGCCCAACACAAGAGCGCTCACGTGCCGCAGCGCCAGCACTTCTCAAGGGTGGGTAGCCGGGGGCTTACCCTCACCACTTAACCAAATGGTTTAAAATGTTTGCAGCGCACCATCCCGGGTTTAAGCCAAAAGTCGTCATTCGATGTAGTTCTAAGTATTTTCTACGAATTACTCTGGTAATATATTTTTCCTATAATTGCAATAGTAGTCGCTGCGTATTTGAGTCTTCTTACGAGTTTCTACTGATAACAAGTAGACCCAGAAACACGTGTTAAAGAATGTAAGAGACTCAAATTAAATCGAAACGCAACACGTCTTCTTATATGTATTTTATTGTCGTCCTTTACTCTACGAAATGAGTATAAAAATGATGGTAATTTATATGACTTGATTAAGCTTGGTATACAGTTACTTTTAATTTGCTATCGACATTTCACTTTATCTTCCCTCACTAGAGTCGGTAGTAGCATACTCTGGTAATTATTTTTGCACCGACTGCTATAATAATAGCAGTCGGTGCGTTTTGATTTGGTTTGAGTCTTCTTACGAGTCTCTCTGATGACGGGTAGACCCAGAAAACACGTTATAGAACGGTAAGAGACTCAAATTAAATCGAAACGCAAAGGTCTACGTATATTTATTTTCTACGAATATTTTAACTGTCGGACGGACGAGGAAACCACCATTTAGGAACCGCTGATCTAGGGAATAGGGCAATACGGTACTAAAATATAGTTCAGCTTTTACTTGATCAGATCGTGCCTATAATTGTTTGGATCGGAAGGAGGGACTGGTATTTAAGGTCTTTGTGGCGTTTTGATTACCTTCCTTTGTACTCAAATTTTAGATGCATTGCCCGAATGTGTTTTGGTTGTCAGTTACTCTGCATAGCCTATTATGATGTTGGTCGATGGTGTTTCTTGATTGTTGCCAGCCTTGACCGTCGCTTTTTAAAACATAGCTGAGAATATGGATTGGTATGTTTATAACACGACTTGTTTCTTCTTATGCTTAAGGTATACTATACTGGTGCAATATACTGGTGCGGTGTTGGGCCCTCACCCGGCTGGCGGGTGACGGCCCAAAAAGTTCATATTAAATATATGACACATAATTTCTACTGACTCTAGTTTTTTGACTGTTAACTCACGTATTGTTTATTTGATACTGAGTTACATTACGCAATGCTTTTCCACATAGTATTCCACACTGACGCTTATTTTGATTTAAGATAGGCGAGAGGAAATGATTAAGCTATAATGCTTTCTGTTTAACTATGTTCTTAAAGAATAAAAACAATAATTTATTGTTAATCCGTGACATAATTAATTAAACGTCTTAGGGCTCAGTTGAAATAGAAAAACCTAACAATTTTGTAAAGTTATAAATACTTAGTACCTTAAAAGTTATACTTTCACCGCTGACAGCTGAATACACAATTTATACAATAATGATTGTTCTATTATTATAAATAATTATTATATAGTTTAAATTGCTCATTTAAATGAAAAAATATTGTTCAATAATTTTTTCTTTATTAATGAGATAAATGAGAGTCGATAAAGTATAATATGTAACTTAAGTTGTAGGTACAAGTATGTAATATATTACTTTTTAAGTAATATACTCTTGTTACGTAATATAATACTAAAAACGTAATTGTTGGTTACTTAACAGAATTAGTTCCGTTTATACTTCACATACCTACTTTCATGTTTTGTTTTAGAGAAAATGTCCACTTTATGGACCTTCCTGAATATAGAATTGACTCGAGACTACCAGCTGGACAACTCGGAAGACAGGTTTTCTCTTAGGAGGGAGAAAATATATTCTTTTATGAAAATTCCAAAAGAGGTTGAGCGCTTTATGCTGTATGGTTTTATGCAATGCGCAGATGCATTTTTATTCGTGTACACCTTTTTGCCCATGAGGGTTTTATTGGCGTTATGGGCTCTGATGACCAGACCGTTTTGTAAATGTTTTGGGTAAGTTTTCATACGATCGTACATACCATGTGTTATCGGTGTTATTGAACAATTATCAATTGTTTTATTGTTGATATTCTACTACGGACGCGATTAGAGAAATCTCCCAAAACTGTCAAATATACCTGATATTAATATCAGTTCTTATTGCATTTTTATTTGTGAATATAGGCCATGGCGGATCTGTGAAACAACGATTAAAATTTGAGTTAAGTTTGACAGTTTTTTGGATTATAAACAAATAGAATATCTCGGAAAATTATTAATCCGCGTTTGGAAAAGACTTGACAAGACGTTTCTTATATAAGAAAAAAAAGTTGAATTACGAAGTTGAGTAGTCGTTCCTGAGATACAACCGGTCAAACTTGACCGGCATTTGTGACGAAGTTATAAATAGGATGAAAATCTTTAAACCATTATCTTTTTTTCGCAGCTCTTTCTCTATAAAAAGTTTCATATTTTTTATATTTATAACATTTATAACGTATAATAATAAAAACCATTGCCATTGCGCGTTAAAAATACCAAAAAAATTATCAGAGCTAACTTTCGTAGCACCTATATTTTGGGGAGGGTTCACTTGTGTGTTGAATGTAACAGAGGATGTTTTGAAGATGATTTTTTTGAGTAAGGATTCGGGGTAAGAATTATCTAGGAACAATTGTAAAATGATGTATATATTTTTCTTTCTAAAAACAAGGTCCGCTAGATTACAAACTCTTGTGGTTATTTGTTTCACTAGATTAACTTTCATGCCTGGTTTGTGGTAAGAATGGTAGTGAGGTGTCTCCCAGAGTTACACTTTTTTCTTACCAACCAATAGTAATGATGTTATCTAGTTCTTTAGTAAACGTTGTGTCAAGAAAAGGAACAGAGTTATTTTGATCCTCTTTTTCAAGAGTAAATTGAATGTGGGGATCATAGCTATTGAAAATGTCCAAGAGCTCAGCCTCTACCTAGTGGACACGACATATAAAGATTTGCGAAAGCTTGTATACTAAAAAGAGTATTTCTCTGTCTTGTCTTCCTCTGCATACCCAAATAGTGTTTGTAGTCTAATTGATCAGCGTTTACTACAAGCGTTTATCGCTTTTTTCAGTATATATATATATATATATATATATAATATATATATATATGTTATGATTGTTTATTTTGACTTTGATCTTAGTTTCTTGAGCCAATAACAAAAATATAACTTATTTGTTATCAAATGTAAAATAAACTCCTTATATTACCTGTGTTCGATGGATTCAAAGATTTTCTAGCTGTGCTTTATGGGATAGAGAAGAAGGATAATAATAAAAGAAAATATTATATTACAAAAAAAATTACGTTTCTTTATTTTATATGAACGAATAAAACAATTATCAAATTCTGCCGTTATCTTATCAATCAGCATACAAGAAAATAAATGAAATTTTTATAATAATAAGATTTTTAAATCTACATACATTTATATTAAGTGAAAACCAATTTTACTTAAATTTTCCTTTACTTGAAACAAGAAACAACAAAACTTTAAACTTTTGATTAGTCTAACAAACCTCAGTTCTTAAATTTGAATGCTAATGACCATGATGCTCAACACAGATCCTTCACAGATATTAATTTTAATTGTACAAAACACTTACAGCTTTTTTCTTATTGAATTGTATGTTGGAACATACCCAGAAAAGTCCAGTCTCCTCAATGATGTGATCTCTCCTTTTTGGCACCTCGGCTCCTTCCCAACGTCTCTGCAAACCTCCTGCACTAACCAAAAACACCTGATTTACTTCTCCAAAAACTCAGCTACTTATTAATGACACAAGGACTTCCTTTTGTCAACTTGATGCCGTAAAACTACTTTCATATATATTCACAAAATTGCCCACGGTAGATACAAGGACCTCTTTTAATCTACTTGTTATCTCCTTCTGCAAAACTATTCAATTCTTTTCACAATTGCCGGTATCCAACTCACGAACCACACCCTATCTTGAGACAAACGACTGTTTCCTTCGATGACCAAATTATAACTAACTTCTCCGGTTCTCCTGATCGGCTCACAAATTCCCATTCAAAAAAACGACTCGTCCAATCAAAAGCTCAAATTGTGTTTACCATGATTTTGGAAAAGCCTAATTTCTGTTTCAGAGAAAAAACTAAATAGCTTACTTTAAAATTGGTTTTGTCAATACACAATTTATACATATTTCAAAAGATTAGAATATGGTCATTTAATACTCGATTATACAAACAATGAAAAGATTAACTTACAGGTAAAATGTCTTCTAATTCTAAACAAAGGTTTTTTCTAATTCTTTTCTATTAAATCTAAAAGGTCAAATTTCTATTCTTATCTGCACTAAATCTTATCTTAAATTACTATATACAATTTGTTTATACTAATATCTTAAAATTTTATTCCGATGGATCTTTTTATTTATTTTTTCTTTGGTTGGGAAAGAAGAAACATAACAATATATACCGTTTAATTACATGTTAACGTTTACTATAATATAATATATAGGATATATATATATATATATATATAATATATATATATATATATATATATATAGGATATATATATTATATATATATATATAATATATATGATATATATATATATATATATAGGATATATATATATATATATATATATATATATTATATATATATATATATATATATAGAGGATATAAATTTTTATATGGTGGTTTGATATTTAATTTTTGTGATTTTAGGTTTGGTCGAAAAACTAACAAATGCATCTTAACACCTGCTGAAATCTGTGATCTACTCAAGGCTTTGATTCTTTTAGTTTGTAGTATAATTATGATGTACTTAGATATAAATATGCTGTATCACCTAATCAAGAGCCAATCCGTGATAAAGTTGTATATATTTTTTAATATGTTGGAAATAGGTAAGAATTAGTATCTACTTTATTTTATTAGGGCTATAGATCTTTATAAAGCAACTAAACAATTTAACTGTAGTATTTATAATTGCTCATGAACTAGATATGATTAATAGTTTTACAGAACACATCTCTATAAGATCTAAAATTCTTAGAATTGTTCGCTCTTTGCACGGCTTACTCTTGCACGACTCAACCGTAAGGATCATGTAATCAATCTCGAATATTCGCATGATACATCGTAGCAAAGGCGATTAGGAGACTTTTCAAATGAGAGATCCCGTGACCTCGGTTTGTATTTAAAAAAATTGTCCATTACATCATTACGTCAAAACTGTTGACGTAATGTCAAACAAATATATTATAGCAATTAATGGTCATTCAAAAATTTAAAATGACTTGTTTTAGGATTTTTTTTAAAGTCATCTGTTTCTGAAATAATAAATTTATTCCAAAGATTTACATTATATTGTATAGTAAATGTATAGCGTCTGATAGACGGACTCTGTCGAATGCCTTTTCCAAATCGACGAAGCAAATGTAGGCTGGTTTGTTTTATTTAATAAATTTCTCAACTATTTCTCTGATTACAAGGAGCATATTATCACAAGATCTTCCGCTTCTGAATCCTTGTTGTTCATCTCATATATTATAAGTATTTTTTATAACTTACCCATTAGTACTTTTAAGAGTTTGGAAATGGAAGTTAACAGGTTTATTCCTCTATTACTGATGGGGTCGCTTTTTTCGCTTTTCTTAACAGTAGTATCATAAAAGTGGTTCTACATTGTTCAGGTATTCATCCTAATCTTATAAATATATTAACCGTGATTGTTAACTGTCGCAGTATCTGAGGTATGCCACATTTGATGAGCAGTTTCCTTAGAGCTTCTTTTACTTCGCTTTGTGATATTTTCGTTAATTCATTTCGTGTTTGCCTGTGTGGATGTAAAATACTCATCATTAGGCGATATCAAAACTAAATAACTAATTTAGTACGGCCACGTACAACGTACGGACGAGAGAAGACTATCAAAACAGATTTTTGAATGATCACAAAGAGGAAGAAAAAGCAGAGGAAGACCCAGGAAAAGTTTGCTATTTTTTCTGTTCTCCATCTTCCTTCTGCTCTTCCCCAGAAATCCATCTGTCTAGCTGTAATTATCTTTTTTGTTTTATTACTGATCATAGCCATATTTCACTTCCCTATATTATATACTCTTGAATAAATATTATCACTTGGATAAGCTATGTAAAGTTTCAGTTTAAAATAATTTATTTCTTGTTTATTTTTTAGGTGATCGATTATTTTCTTCGTTTGGTCAAGATGCCATTGATTCTTTGTTTTGGACAGCCACAGAACCAAGAGGAAGAAAAAGAGAACACTTGGGAACAATACCTCATTTATTGTTCGCTATCATTTATGTTGGTATCCTTTTGTAATAAGATAGAGTTTATACTATTGGTAATAGGTATTTAAGTCATATGCTGTAAAATGAAAAATAAAGAATAATTTAGAGGGAAAACAGGATGCCTAGAAGTTGGGTATTACAGTGGGTAATATAGAAATTAACTCAAGGGTAAGTTCGAATTCTTCAGAAATTTCGCACAATCAGACGATTTTCTCCAAACTACGCTTCAATGAGAGGCGGTGCGACAAACAGATCATTCGATTGCTTATAATCCGGAAACGACTGGGGATTATGTAACATTTCATGGTAATAGGCTGGGCGCATACCTTAATAATATATTTATAAATTTACGTATATGTATCTATGAAACCTATTAGGTAGCGTTTCGTTTTGGTAATTTATTTTTGTCTTAGGTCACTTTATTTTTATAGGTTAAACTTCGTTACATGGGTTCATTTTATCATGGTCGCCGGTGGAGTCCTACCGAACGCTTTGCGGAGCACCTGATCTCCCCAGAGCAACTTTTACGATGTACTAAATCTCACTTTGATGATTTAAATGTATTTAACTTGTAATACATAAGAGGAGAAAGAAAATGACCTATTTGTTTATATTATTAACTGCAATAATTACACTTCCAATAATTCCTTCACGTTTTGCTTATACAGATTGCGTGCAATGGACTCCAAAAATGAACGTTGAAATTAATATATAATGCATGGATAAATATTACACAAAACATGAAAGGATGATGTTGAAACTATCCAGGATTGGAATAAAACAATGGGAAATGGTAACACAAGATCCTAGAAGATGGATATAGTGGATACAGAGAAGATTCACCCCGGATTGTAGAGTCAGTCAAGAAAGAAGAAGCATGGAAAATAAATAGTTGAACAATGCGTGTGAATTTTTAATGATTTTCGTTTTTTCATTCTATATAATTCATCTTTTCTCATTGCACTCAAGTAAGACATACCAATATTGATTGTTTTTTGTTTTCCTTAATAATAATAAAAGTTCTTCATGGAGTATTGGTATTATTCCAAGCAACAACTATTAATGTAGCTATTAATTCCCGAAATAAAGCCTTATTAACAATAATGATGTCAAATAATGTAAGTATAAATCATTATTAATTCTAAATTAAAATTGGCACTTTAGTGCCTTATTACATTATTAATTTATAACCTACGTATAATATTTACTTCTACTCTCCTTAGTAGAGTAGTTTGATAGAGTAGCTCCACGTACCTCCCGTGCGTGGATGAGACGTTCAACCGTTTATCTTCTTTATTGTTGAATTAAAGCGCCTGCCGAAGTATGTCATCTGCATTGGAAACTTTATAAAAATTGCGGATAAAAATTGCAAAATTTCAGATATTGCACCACCACGAATAATGTTTCCTTCAAGATCAAGCGAACTTAATTTTAGTACTGCAGAATTTAGAACATCTAATCATTATAACGTGGACTAAGATCATAAGACGTGTATTGTATAATTTGTGTTGTATAGGACTATTTAAAAATGGGATTTACCCAATATTTTCTTCCTTCCATTTTATTATTCGATTATACATATACAAACTAACGGCTACCTCGGTGACATCCATTTCGTAATGGAAACGAAAAATGAATGTAGAAAACCTATCCGGAGGCGCATTTCTTTAGGTTTGGAAACAAGAAAAAATCGCTGGCGACAAGATCTGGGAAATATCTAAATATCATCCAAACCGGGGCGTTTTTGACTCAATTCGGCATCGAATCGATCCAATAATGCTGTGTAGTACTCACCATTGATTGTTTTTCCTTTTTCCAAGTAGTCTATGTGGATGATGACCTTCGCATTCCAGAAAACAGTCGTCGATTACTTTGTCGTCCCGAAGTGGTTCAACACGGTTTTTTGGCATTTGGATCGATTGTCAGCAACACGCGGGGCAGCCCCATCTCGCTGATAGCTTTTTCATCTCCAAATGATGGTAAATGATGTTGTGTACGTGTTCGTAGGAAATGTTTAGGACCTCTATTAACTCGTAGAGCTTAATTTGACGATCTGCCATAATCATGTCATGGACTTTGTTGATCATTTTCGGCGTGGTGACTTCATTTGGTCTCCCGGGACGCTCATCAATAAAAACACTCGTACGACCACGAAGCAAATTCAGCTTTCCAAAATTTTACTGTTGCTAACGAAGGTGCAACCTCACCTCACCATAAACTTCGTCCAGGTCGGCTTTGATTTGCACATTCGTTTTACCCTTTTTGTGGAGTAACTTAATCACCGAACGATACTCGACTTTTTCCATTTCTCCTAAAACACAAAATTGGCTTGCTTTTGATGGCTGTAAAAAAACAAGATAATTGTTTTTAAAACTTAAAATTTTGACAGACGTCATGTCATGAATTTCGGTATCAAGTAGCGCCATCTATCAAAGGCTAGTTTAATATCATACTATCCTCGTACCATCGAGCAATAAGACAAAAGAGGGAATCTAATCGTTATAAAAAGGAGACCAAAAAAGTGGCCTCTGATAGCGGACATATCCGGAAATGCAAAGGCGCCAAATTTAAATTTTTCGATACTATCAACAGTAGCTATTATAATATTTTTCAAAATGTGTCTTAGACGAGAAAGTTTTAATTAATTATTAATGATAAGAGTCTAAAATGCGACACAATTGTTAAAAAACTTCAATATAAATAAGATTTCATGTGACATTTGGGACAAACAATAACATAACCCAACTAAATTTGATGTCAAACAAGGAGAGAGACTCTCTATCTTGTCTAAAAGTGGCCTCTCAAGATGGCACTTCCTGTCTATCAATATGTTTACCCCTTCTAACCTTTACATTCCCTCTTTTGTCTTATTGCTCGATGCCTCGTACACACTTAACAATCCGATATATAATTTAGGTATAAGAAACACACATATAAAAATAAATAACACAGTATCCCTTCTCAATTCGATACGCTACAGCCGAAACCTAAACTGACAACGTGTAACAAAAATGCTTTGTGCTGTGCACGCCAATGTAACAAAACGTGTAGGATAATGGAAATGATAACATATAATTTAAGCTGGCTAGCAGAAGGTGCCGGAGAGTGACTACTTGACACTCAAAGGAGAATTCGGCCAATTTGCATGCCCTACAGAGACCGTAGAATTAGAAGATGAATGACGAGTTAGTAAAAAAACTATAGGTATACAAATAAGATAAATAAAAATGATTATAGAAGTTGCTCCAAAATGTGAGTGGGCGCCAGGAAAGTATTTACATAAACTTTCCAAGGTATCTTGTAAAGCTGTTTGCTAAAATAAAGAAAGGATATAGGTATGAATTGAAATATTTAGTTTTCACCAAAACTTTAATCCCTAGCCAAATATATACAATCTAAATTTAATATACCCACCACCAATTATGTACAGCTAATCTAGTTATATACAAAAAATAAATGCCCTGGTTATACAACTGATCCTGGATGATCTAAATTTACAAATAATAAAATATGGAAAAAAAAATGGTAATAACTGACCTAAAAAGGTAATTTATTTGCCTCAGAGATGCAACTCTGTATTCTGGCTTTATTGAATATAAGAGTACCAAGTAATAAGGACACTATCTTGATGAGATAAGTGTCCAAACGTTTAAATATATATTGATAATAAAATCTAAAAAATATAACTCTCTGATTAAATGTGTACACAAGAAACCATACAAGTGAGTTAGAAGGGAGGACTTAAAAACCTCTACCTGTAGTTGACAATTTGTATTTAAATATTATTCAATAAATTATTAAAAAAAATGACGACTCTTATTATTATATGAAATACTAGAAGTTAAATATACAAAAAATTTATACAAAAAATATCATAGGTAAAAAAATTAATCTAAGAAATAAACTTAATCCAGATTTACTATATTTTAAGGGAGATAATTCCCGCTGGCTTCCTAAGATTTTCGTAATCGGAAGGTCAGATCTGGACCTCTGGAGAGCAGCTACGGCAAGGAAAAAAACAGGCCTGGAACCAGGTATAACCGGACTAGGTTTCAAGTTAATCGACACTTCTTATTCAAATTTAAAAAAAAAACAAAAGCAAATTCTTCCCCCGACTTCTGTTGGAATCCCAAAGGTAGGCTAAAAAAACATTTCTTTTAGAGTTTTTTCTTATACTTTACAGAGGAGGAAAAAAAAACAAGGTTTATGAACCTTGAAAGGTTTTATAAATGTTACTTATGAATTGTGAGAGCAAAAAAAACTTAATGGATTTATAGATAATTTGATCGTCGTATGGTTTGACAATTTAAATGGATTAATTATATCGACAATTTTAATGAAAAGCATATGATACGAATTTATTTTATATTATAAAGAGCGATATAAGACAGAATATTTTAACGATACTGGTAATAGCAATTTTACCGATAGATAATTATGTTTTACGGCCGGGAAATAAAATTAAAATACATATGATTTTAGATCAATTAACACTATCTATTTAGATGTTGAATATTTCTTAATGACGGATGGAAAAAGTTCAGATAAGTATATCGAATTGAAACGTGACAATACAGGATCTCAAAATGGCTGATGACTTTTTTTTATTGTCGTTTTATTTATAACTTGGATACTTACGGCTCACAGTGGCTATAAACCAAATAGGACACTTCAAACAAAAAACCCCAAACTAAAACTTCTTATTACTTCTTCATAAAAAAACTTAAATTCCAAAAACCACGCCACGTGGCCCCTACCTTGGACTTAAGTTTCTGCTACCAAAGTTCAAACAGAAGTGCGATTCGGATACTCAATTTGAGCCAGCTAAACTATGATTTCAAACTTGGACGCTTGGTGTCGCTGTTTCATACCAACTTAAATTTTTAAGATTCAGAAAATCATTAAGAGGATTGAGATTTTAAATTTATTTAAAAAATGTTTCCGGAATGTTATAGTAACGTTCTCGTTACATTCCCCTCTTACTTGGAGAAAAAAAAATTTTAATGAAAAAATTTTTTTTTTTTCCATATCTAACCACAATCATAGTGTAGGTATGAACCGTCAGTCATAGCAATAGCTCAAACAGGCGTTTAACCGTTGGTTAGCCAAAGTTTCCATCATTGTAGTGAAAGCAAATGATACAAACCAATCTAAAATTTAAATTTTTAGCCATGGCCCTAGTTTGCCAAATGTAGCTAAAATACACTAACTTAAACTAACTTCATAACAATCTACATCGATTCGCAAGATTACAAGTAACCACAGATTATGAATAATGTAGAAAGAAAGAGAAATCTAAAGATATCCAAATATTACTAAGTGACTTACAAGTCACATCCTATCTATAGTACATAAACTACATTAACGCTTAGCGCCAATGTAACAAAAATGCTTTCATGTAGCCTAAAATAGTCATAAAGACAAATAATCATATATCTCAAAGTAATGTGAAATCGGACACTGACTCCAAAATTGACTATTCGGTGGACAACAGATTTATAGTAGAATATCCAAAGATAATCAATCAGGCAAGGGTGTGGACCGATTCACAAATCATAAGTGACAATAAAAAATATTCCAAACATATATACTAATTTAAGTATTGAATTGGGCACTAAATCCAAAATTGATCAATCAGTGGACAACAGATTTATAGAATAGCATATCCAAAGATATAATCAACCAGGCAAATGGGTAACCAATTCACACTATAATCAAATAATCTAAATAATAATTAGGTCAACATATACCCACATCCGGTAATATGTGCCTAAACCATAATATTTATCGAATATGTCTGATTGGAAAATAGTAGTCCCAACAGCTAATAGGGATGAAGTGTGAAACCTTTCATGATGATGTGACATCAGGTCACTTTGGTTTCTATAAAACTTATAGTAAGATAGCTGAGCTATATTACTGGCCTGGTCTGCGCAACTCAGTTAAGAAATACAGTTCGAGATGTAGAGTTTTGTGCAACATGTAAGGCCCCACGTTGGGCGCCAATGTAACAAAAATGCTTTGTGCTGTGGCACGCCAATGTAACAAAACGTGTAGGATAATGGAAATGATAACATATAATTTAAGCTGGCTAGCAGAAGGTGCCGGAGAGTGACTACTTGACACTCAAAGGAGAATTCGGCCAATTTGCATGCCCTACAGAGACCGTAGAATTAGAAGATGAATGACGAGTTAGTAAAAAAACTATAGGTATACAAATAAGATAAATAAAAATGATTATAGAAGTTGCTCCAAAATGTGAGTGGGCGCCAGGAAAGTATTTACATAAACTTTCCAAGGTATCTTGTAAAGCTGTTTGCTAAAATAAAGAAAGGATATAGGTATGAATTGAAATATTTAGTTTTCACCAAAACTTTAATCCCTAGCCAAATATATACAATCTAAATTTAATATACCCACCACCAATTATGTACAGCTAATCTAGTTATATACAAAAAATAAATGCCCTGGTTATACAACTGATCCTGGATGATCTAAATTTACAAATAATAAAATATGGAAAAAAAAATGGTAATAACTGACCTAAAAAGGTAATTTATTTGCCTCAGAGATGCAACTCTGTATTCTGGCTTTATTGAATATAAGAGTACCAAGTAATAAGGACACTATCTTGATGAGATAAGTGTCCAAACGTTTAAATATATATTGATAATAAAATCTAAAAAATATAACTCTCTGATTAAATGTGTACACAAGAAACCATACAAGTGAGTTAGAAGGGAGGACTTAAAAACCTCTACCTGTAGTTGACAATTTGTATTTAAATATTATTCAATAAATTATTAAAAAAAATGACGACTCTTATTATTATATGAAATACTAGAAGTTAAATATACAAAAAATTTATACAAAAAATATCATAGGTAAAAAAAAATTAATCTAAGAAATAAACTTAATCCAGATTTACTATATTTTAAGGGAGATAATTCCCGCTGGCTTCCTAAGATTTTCGTAATCGGAAGGTCAGATCTGGACCTCTGGAGAGCAGCTACGGCAAGGAAAAAAACAGGCCTGGAACCAGGTATAACCGGACTAGGTTTCAAGTTAATCGACACTTCTTATTCAAATTTAAAAAAAAAAACAAAAGCAAATTCTTCCCCCGACTTCTGTTGGAATCCCAAAGGTAGGCTAAAAAAACATTTCTTTTAGAGTTTTTTCTTATACTTTACAGAGGAGGAAAAAAAAAACAAGGTTTATGAACCTTGAAAGGTTTTATAAATGTTACTTATGAATTGTGAGAGCAAAAAAAACTTAATGGATTTATAGATAATTTGATCGTCGTATGGTTTGACAATTTAAATGGATTAATTATATCGACAATTTTAATGAAAAGCATATGATACGAATTTATTTTATATTATAAAGAGCGATATAAGACAGAATATTTTAACGATACTGGTAATAGCAATTTTACCGATAGATAATTATGTTTTACGGCCGGGAAATAAAATTAAAATACATATGATTTTAGATCAATTAACACTATCTATTTAGATGTTGAATATTTCTTAATGACGGATGGAAAAAGTTCAGATAAGTATATCGAATTGAAACGTGACAATACAGGATCTCAAAATGGCTGATGACTTTTTTTTATTGTCGTTTTATTTATAACTTGGATACTTACGGCTCACAGTGGCTATAAACCAAATAGGACACTTCAAACAAAAAACCCCAAACTAAAACTTCTTATTACTTCTTCATAAAAAAACTTAAATTCCAAAAACCACGCCACGTGGCCCCTACCTTGGACTTAAGTTTCTGCTACCAAAGTTCAAACAGAAGTGCGATTCGGATACTCAATTTGAGCCAGCTAAACTATGATTTCAAACTTGGACGCTTGGTGTCGCTGTTTCATACCAACTTAAATTTTTAAGATTCAGAAAATCATTAAGAGGATTGAGATTTTAAATTTATTTAAAAAATGTTTCCGGAATGTTATAGTAACGTTCTCGTTACAACGAGAGAAAAATTATACCTTTTGTAGATATGGGTTTTAAAAATTTACATAAATTCTATGCGTATTTTCCAAGAACAGGTAATTTTAGAAGATCGAGGAGCAAGTTTACAGTTCAGGTTGATGTCTTACTAAGCGGCGTATATAACCCTCTAACAAAAGTAAAAAAAATTAAAAAATATATACAATAAAAAGGTGAGTCACTATGTATTATTTCCAGATCGCACTATAGAAATGACTTACTGTGGTATAACCAAATTGTATTTGGCGCCAAATCATAATATCCCCTTACTATGTTTATCACCTTCGAGAGCCTTCGAGACCACATAACAAACTAATAAATCCGGCAAAGATCAGGAGTTTAAAGGATTCCCCACACCGACGCGAAACTTTTGCGACGCGAAACCGTTGCGGAACATTCGCAGGCGGAGCACTATTAAATTCATTATATATAATATATAATGAAAACTTACCATTTTCTCCTAGAAATGACCCTATATTATCCCAGACTTTATCCTTTTTTCTTATATTTTTATAATCTTCGTCACTTAAATCATAAATTATAGGATATTGTTTCACAATTTCAATTAGTTTTTCTGTAACAGCCATTTTAATAATTCACGCGAAACTATAACTTGCTATAACTGCAGCGGAAAAAACCGTGCATGCAGCGTTTCATGAAACGTCAACGCTGTTCTGCCGCGACCGTTCCGGTTTCCGTCCGAACTTGTCTGAACACATGCATTAAGTCGCCGTGCCTTACGATTCGCCGCGATTCCGCTGCGAAAAGTTTCACGTCGGTTTGGGGAATCCTCAAGACGTCATCGAAAGAACCACGACGCTGAAGTGGAACTGGGCAGGGCACTTTATCCAGAACACAAGATGGTGGTGGACAAGACGTATTATGGAATGGAGAAAGAAACTATAAAAGAAGCCGAGACGACCACCGACTAGATGGACCGATGATATAAAACGTGTAACGGGAAACTGGCTACAAGCGGCCCAGTGTAGAGAACACTGAAAAAAACTGAGGGAGGCCTATCCAGCAGTAGACGCGATTGGCTGATTGACGATGATGATGTTTATCACCAATCCAAGAGCCATAATTACTTACCCATTCTGTACGTAGTGGGATCGACGAATCCCACAGCCACAAAACCATCGAAACACACAGTAAAAAAGAGCTATTTGTAAGTCAAGCATTTTATCATGTTATTGATGGTTTCAGCCTGGATTAGGAATGTAACTGATATAATATTTAAGCCATTATTTTAAATGTGCAATTTTTTTCTTTTTTATATCACCGCTTTGTGAATGGAGTATGGTATGGAATATTGTGAAATAGGCTTTATGAAGCCTTATTTTCCTTCCGCCAGTTTAATTTGATTTTTTGATTATTAGCAGGTTTATTCCTCTGTATTTTTCGGATATTATTTTGACCATAATATCAAAAATGAATAAGTATATCTTGCGTATTATTTGTTACATTTTGACTTTGTCTTTGTGAACTTTGTTTTTATTACTTGTACCTTATACTGATATATTCTGAATACTGGATAATGTTTATTTTTTCAGTTCGTAGAATTAAAAGGCAGCGTTTTTAAGAAATTCAACAATAACAACCTATTCCAAGTTTCCTGCAGTGACGTACGCGAGCGGTTTCACTTATGTATTCTGCTGTTCATGGTGATCCTTCAAACGATGCGTGAATACTCCTGGAAATCGGAGCGTTTTTGGGTGATGTTGCCGGACTGCATCTTCATTCTCTTGGCGGAAATGTTCGTCGATTGGATCAAGCATGCCTTCATAACGAGGTTCAACGAACTCAACCTAGACGTGTACAGGGATTACACAACCAGTTTGGCGTATGACGTTGCACAAACTAGACAAAAACACGCCTTTTCTGATCATTGCGACCTAGTCGCCAGACGTATGGGATTTATACCGTTGCCGTTAGGCGTCGTTATAATTCGCGTGTTGTTTCATTGCGTTAATATAGAAGATTTAGCTTCTATTGTTATTTTATTTTTTGTATTTTTGTTTTTGACTTCTTTGAAGGTTTTAAATAGTTTATTGATATTAGCAAGGGCGTGTTATTTGATTAGTCAGCACAAGATGGACAAGAGCCTTAATTCTCCTAATAATAATAGGTAAGTTAATAACACAGGAAAGAAAGTTGTAGGAACATTTAATTTTAAAAGTCATCATCACCCAGCCGTTTGCGTCCACTGCTGGACATAGGCCTCCCTCATTTTTGTCCATTGTGCTCTATCTTGACCACTTTTCATCAAATTTCTTGACATTTTCTTGAGATCGTCAGTGCAACAAGTAGAGGGTTTCCTAACCTTGGCCTCCACTCAAGCAAACTCTTCGTACACCTTTCACCACTGATTCGGGCGACTGGCTGGCCTAGTTCCATTTTACTGTGGAAATTCGGGAAATTACATGGGTAAGTCCTGTTCATCCTGTTACGTTTTCATTTGTAACTCGGCCACGAAGCGATATACTCAGCATTGACCAATAGAATTTCCTTAGCATTGTGCCATTTGGTCGGGTATATTACTGTCCAAAAGGCACATGTTCAAAAAGTTTTTTATTTTCTTAAGTAGACAAATGCCTCCGATTTTGATTGCATTAATAACTACATAATCTTCGCCTGCTATTTGCTCCGTGTTGGTTTGTGTACAGCAATTTGTAGAAGTCTTCAACTCTTTTAAGGGTTTCCTCTCTGTTGGTTGTAAGATGACCATCTCTATCTTTAATCTTTATTATCTTCCTTGTCTTTGTTGTTAGTCTTTTTCTCAATACTTTCATACTTCTATTGTTCTCAATGGTATGTTCACTTTGTTCTTGGTTGTATTTTCGAGTGTCTTGTCTAACAGCTTTGGATATTTCATTATTTAATTTTTGTAGTTCGTCGGCTTTAGTTTCCGTCCTGCTTCTCATTTCTCTTTTTTTCTGCATTTTGACTTTACAGTAAGGCATTTGTTAATTTATTATTTGCCGTTTATAATATTTTCTGTTTCAGGGCTAGTAAGTCTGTCGGAAATACATTGATGAAAACTATCTACATCTGATGGTTTCAACCATGGTTTTGATTTGATCTTCTTTTTAATCATCTTGGATCTCTCTTTCTTTAAGCTTGTTTCTATTTCACCTCGTTTCTATTTCATGCTCTTGGCAACCCGGCTACTATTCTATGATCGCTACTGTAACAAATCTGTTTAGATACCATGATTTCTTTAACGGTGGTTTCTTCTCCGTAGTTTCTTTTTGAATAAACTGTTCATTTGGAATAGTTCATATTACAGCATGAACCTTAAAAGTATTTCGCCACGTTTATTTTTACCATCCAAGCCAAAGTTTCCCAGTGGTGTTTCTGTAGGGTTCGATTTCATTCCTGTTTTGGCGTTAAAATCACAACATATAAAAATAAAATGTCCTTGATGGTCTTTCAGAGCCGCTTCGATATCATCATAGAATAGATCCGCTTCTTCTTCGTCATGGTCTGTTGTTGGTCCGTAAACCTGTACTATTTTCATATTATACCTACCTTGTATTCAATTTGAGAGTAAAACAAATCTCTCTTGTTGAAAATTATTTTAGTCATACTATACTTGTTTGGAAACGCTGGCGTATAATGCCGCCTAACACATAAGCTCGATTTCTATCAACCTATCGAGCAGGCTGGATTCAGAAATCATTTTAGTACCATAGACCACTTGCACACCGTAAGAATACTAATAGAAAAATGCATCGAGGATAATGTTCCAATTCATATGGCGTTCGTCGATTTCCATAAAGCATTCAATTCCATCGAATTATGGGGAGTGTTTGAATCTCTAGAAAATGCACGTATAGATTCAAGATACACTAACATAATTAAAAACATATATGAAAATGCCACCATGCAGATAAAACTGGACGAAAGCACAAAAGCTAATCCCATAAGACTACAACGGGAGTAAGACAAGGAGACACCATCTCTCCCAAACTATTTACCCTTGCTCTAGAAGACATTTTTAAGAAACTAAAATGGAACAATAGGGGTATCAACATCGACAGATCATACTTAAACCACTTGAGATTCGCAGATGACATAGTTTTAATAGCCGATAATATCCAAGAATTAAATGATATGTTACAACAATTAAATGCCGTTTCAGGAGCGGTAGGCTTAAAAATGAACTACAGCAAAACAAAAATACTGAGCCGAGACCAGACAACTACAACAATACAAAATCATACCATAGAAAATGTTGAACATTATGTATATCTGGGTCATGTTATCAAACTAGGAAAACCAAATCAAGATGCTGAAATTAAAATAAGAACACAACTGGCATGGGGCGCTTTCGGCAAACTAGCATATATCTTGAAAAACACCCCCATTCCTGTAAACTTGAAGAAAAAGGTGTATAACACATGCATACTACCAGTTTGTACCTACGGCTTGGAGACAGTAGCCCTTACCAAAAAATCTGCTAAAAAAATTAGAAAGAACGCAAAGTGCAATGGGACGAATCATGCTTGGAATATCACTGAGAGACAAAATTAGAAACACCGAGATAAGACGTAGAACGAAGATTAGGGATTTTGTGGAAGAAATTACAAAAATGAAATGGCGCTGGGCAGGCCACGTAGCCCGATATAATGACAACAGGTGGACACGGAGAATTCTAGAAAGGAGACCAAGGACGACAACAAGAAGCATGGAAGAACCTCAAAAAAGGTGGGTAGGTGACATAAGAGCAGTGGCAGGCAAAGAGTGGATTAGATTAGCGCAAGATAGAGAAAGATGGAAGCAATTGGGAGAGACCTACATTCAGGAGTGGATGGAAAATGGTTGACAAAGAGGTGTTTAATGAAGCCGCTTCCTTCCAAGGAATTATTGTTGTCACCTACGTGGTAAAAACTACGTCCTTATTTTAGTTTAATTAAGTGTTCGCCACGTATTCTGACTTCGCTGAGACTGACTATGTCCCACTTTATGTTTCTAGTTCGCACTCAAGTTCAGTAAGTCTTTCATTGGATAGTATAGAACGTGCATTATATGTTCCTATATAAAGTGTCATCTTATTCGGCTAACTTTTTCCTGCTTTTAGGATTCTGGATTCTCTGATTCTGGAAATAATTTCCTACTTGCCTGGGATATTTACGTGTTTTCAACTGAAATTTTCGTGAGGGGTATTTAGCCTTTAAAACACCACGTTGGCTAGACGTATTGGTGAGTATTTGTTTCAGCCGCCCATTCTGGTTCCGACGCTGTTTGCGGCCGTCCACTCTGGATCAAACGCCGCGGGTTGTGCTCTTATACTATCCCTAAAATCAAGGGTTGCCAACTCCGCCATCTTCGCAGTACCGAAAGCATTTCTTCGTCGCCTTAATTTTAAAAGTACTTTTCGTCTTTTAGGGCCTATGCGTTTCAGATGTTTGCGACCATCATGACGATCTGAATTTTGCAGACTGCTGCTTTGAATAGTTAATAGCTATTTTTCTTTTTGTATTCTTTAAAAAAGAAAATACGGGGAATCATAATTTACGACATGATAGACCTCATGGTAATATGTTTCTTCTTTCATGTCGAATCTTGAACTACGATGTCCAAGATTAACATTTTTTAGTTAAAGTGTTGCTATCATGTTGATTGTTCTTGGGAATTATGGCGATATTTAATACAGTATTTTTCATCGCCTTATGTATCCTTATTCCGTTCACTATTTCGTTTAACCTTTGGGATTGATTTTTCAATCCCGGTAACAAGAGAGCCAACTTATATGCCTGAAGCTGTTGGTCAATAAGTGGGGAATTGATTATACCGGCAATCACCCGGCCCATATCTGCGTGGGTGGTCCAATTGGATCTCATGTAGATCTACTATGTGGATGTCTAGATTCGGATTTTCGTTTTTTCGATATTAAGACCTTTTGGCATTTATTTATACCCACAGAGCTCTAGAAGACTTTTACTCTTAAAAACCTATTTATGTGGTATCATTCCCGTATATCATGAGAATATTTTTTCGTTGTTTTACTGCTTTTCTGTATATAATATACCATGACGATTAAACAATAATATTTATTTCAAATTTATGGACCTCCTAAGAGAAAAAGTTAAAAGGTTATTTGTGTATATTTAAAAAAAAATATTTTAAGTAATATTAAATTTAGTACGTAGGAATAATTTTAAAATTAATTATAACATTTTTAGATGTAATAGTCCTCTAGTCACCCGAAGTCGGACTGATACAGCTACGAGTCCATTACACCCTATCGTGGATCAACCTACCCTTCGACCAACTATGCTTTTTCAAGAGATTGACGATAAAAAGGACGAGAAACGTGATGCACCACCAATTCCGAAAGATTTGGGTAAATATAATTAATACATCAGAAATATTTTTATTCTTGCATGTATGCGAGTGTTTGACCTACTTACCTCAGTTTTAGATCTTTTTTCTTCGAGGGCCTATTTCCATTGCTTCAGTTTTGTTTTCTAGTTCACCAGCACCAGTAAATACAATGAAAACTTTATACAGGGCGATCAACTTGTACGACAATGAGTACATGTATGCAGTATTAAAGTTATACATTTTAACCCTTTATCATGTCATCATTGTTATTGAAATGCAAGAAACGTTTTATTTCTTCGAATCTGTTACAGCTCATCACATCGCTAACTGATCGGTGGTCAATATTGGCATTCCAATAGTGTCTTCTTGATGGAAGTTGAATTATCGACATGTAAATAGTAATTCCTATACATTGTTTTATTTTATATTTTTTTATATTAGCTGGTTTAGCTTTTTTATTTTATAATCAAAGAAGGTAAATTTTCAGAACCAGTAAATTTTGTATTATTTTCTGATCTTCTCAGATTTCCTTTTACCCAATTATGAGATTTCTTCCTTTTATGTCGAAGTCTTTTAGACAAAGGGGTATCATCATCTGAGGAATCTGAGGATGTGGCAGAAATGACAGTTTTCTTGACATTGCTTGGTAAATTTTCACGCTCCTCATTGTCACTATCTTGACACAATATCATCTCATTTGTGCCATCTTCATCAGAGAAATCTGATTCTTCACTAGTAGTACTATTTGGAATTCTAACTGAATTCATTGTACCATAAAAGAGTCTCGGATCTATATCTACAAAAACAATCAATGAGTCCATAACTTCATAGTGTGTCATATACAGCTCAAACCCTTTTTGGGGTTTTCGAGAGATGTTCAACATTCTTAATTTTTAGTACTTACCTAAGCAGATTATCTAATATTACAATACAATAAATTTCAATTTTTTGCCTGCGCGATCTCCAGATCTTACACCCATGGACTTATTTTTTTGGGGACATTTAAAAAGCACCATCTACGATCATCCTGAGGCTAGAGTTTAAAATTTAGATGAATTAAAAAATCGAATAAATTTTTTTGGATCCGACAACCAATTAGAATAATGGAGATGTAAATCCCATCCGTTGTTATGTGCTACTAAATGATCTTCTGTTGTGGTGTCGGGGGAGATCAGGAATTACAATTACCTGGTACGAGGGAATGTTGCAGATTTTATCGTTTTATGCAATGTGCAATATCTAATTCAGAACTTAAACGTACTGCAGGTTTTACTAACTCCTACAGGCCGCTTTTAAAGTAATTGTTGTTTTTTTGATTGCGGTAAATATAGTGTCAGGGTACATGGCTAATACTGTGTCAAGTTTATAATCTCACAAAGTTTTTTGCTGGAAACTCGGGAACACTTTTCTGCTTGTACCGCGCATCTCGTGGTCATGATTGCGATTGGAGAGCTCAGTAGTGGCATCATAAATCTCACCATAAGATAGGCCAATTGTGCGGCTATTTAGTGATTTTTGGAACGAGCATGTTGTAAATGTTCATGTGTGTATAATGTGTGTTTTGCGTGCGTACGCGTGTATGTTATGTTCAATCAACGAATTTACAGTTAATGACATAGCTGCAGATTCTGTCATGTGCTAATTAGGTCAGTGTTTGTTTGGTTATACCTTGTTAATACCTGTTCGATTTTCCTATGTATGCATAGGACGTTCCCTATTAACCGGCGTGGGAATTTCCCCACCCAGTCTGTCCTGAGCGAGTCCTACTCAGCTCCCCCACAGTCTCAAACTGACACGACTTATACCTTTTCATGCATTCACAAGTTTAATAAGCATACATTTTTTAGGACCTGCTGCTATTTTTGCCAACAGCAACGTGGATTTAAAGAACGCAACTCTAAACGAAGAACTTCTTAAAGTGGAAGGCGATGACATTAAAATCGAAACACTCGCTGAAGATGTTACCAGAAGTGTTCCGAATATAAAATCAGAATTGCCCGAAGACGATATTCCACAAGATAGTATTACAGAAGACACTTTCAAGAGATCAGAGTCTGAACCTAATTTAAACAAAATGGAGAATGAAAATTGAGATTATTTATGGAAGTTTATTTTTGTACCAAAGTAAAGTTGTTGATTTTTAATAATTTGCGTTTAATTTTATACCTACTACCTAGTTACTACTGCTGCAATATATGGTATGTATTTAAATGTCGGCATTTAACGTATGCGTACTGTGTACTCTTTTTAAAATGCCTTCACCAAATGAGAATCTCACCTACTGAGAAGTACGGATTGGTATTCGTTTTGTTATTTTTAAAGCCATGCAATCTACTGAAGTTATATTTTGGTATTTAACTTTCATCAAGTAACGGTCAAATCTATTACTAATTCCATAATTATCTGCTTTTTGTTTCTTTTCTTAAACCTAAATCCTATGCGCCGCAAACACTTCCACAAACTTGTCCTACTGCACTTAATTCCAGTGTCATCGGCATTGAGTTTATTATGTAGATTGCCTAATGCCGGCACGAATTGTTCTTAATACATAGCGTACACTTTACGGCGAATCAACTTTCTAAAAACACCACTGTTACTTCTTTTAGATTTTAGAAGTATTGGATTATTAATGATTTACCGAACGGTTGAAATCGGTGTCCGAGTCAGAGCGGCAGTTTCTTCGATAGCTGCAGTTTTACAAGTCGGCCCTCAATTCATCCCCCAGTGGGTACTAAAAGATAATACTCATAATTTCTACCGATGCTAATTCCTCCTCCTCAGTCCTAATCCCTTTTGGGATGTGGTGACACCATCAGGCCTTTATAGCTTTTTCAGGATTTCCCTCCATCCTTCTCCGTCCTAGGCTAGAGTTGTTCGGCTTCATGTAACCCTTGGTTAATCAATATTTTTGTTTGACCTACCCAACGGCTTAGAGATCTTCCCCTAGGTCTCTTTCCTTCAACTTTACCCTCGACTAACACTTTTTCCATCGTACCTGTTCTTTTAGCAATGTGTCCAAAATATTGCAAATATATCTGTTGTATTTGTTTAAGCAATGTATCCTTTACTTTAAGATACTTTAGTGCGATGATCAATCCAGGATATTCTTAACACGCGGCAGTATACCCACATTCAAAAGCATCTATAGTAAAATTCATTAAGCGGTGCAGGAAAATATAAACATTAAATCGTGTCCGAACCGGTATGAACCGCCGATAACATCGCCAGACGAAATAAAGATGGACATTCCGGTTAGTTTTTAAATATTTTTGAAGAACTGTTACTTGCATTTATGCATAAAATATTCATTAATTTTATAAATCGAAGTATTTTTCACTTACTTTGTATTCAGTGATAACATTAATTTATTTACTATGCAATAAACACGAATATTTGAGAAAAGAAAAAAAAATAATAACAGTGTCATAATTATACTGTTACTTATCGGAACGAGTAGACTCATTTGAAACATCTTTAACAATTATCTGTTAAATTTATCGTTGTTTATATGCCCTGCACCGCTTAATGGAATAAGGTATAGTTTATTTTTATCCGCTTTCTTTAAGGTTCATGTTTTGGATGCATATGTGGCTATGAGAAAAATCAGTGCCCTTACCAGTTTTGGTTTTGTGTGTATTGTTATTCTAGAATTTTTCCAAATTGTTACCAGTTTTATCATAGCTGTTTTAGCAATAGTCAACCTTCTACGTATCTGTCTGTCACACCCTTCGTCATTTGTTATTAGGGACCCCAGGTATATGAAACTATTTACTACTTCAAAGCCCCCAATTTCTTTAATCTGTTGAAAATTATTCCGAGCTCTGTCTACTATCATGATCTTTGTCTTACTCCTATTTAGCTTTAGTCCATATGTTTTGCTTTTCTCCTCCATACATCCCATTATGTCTTCTATTTCTTCTTGATTTGCCGCGATTATTAAAGTGTCGTCAGCGTATCTTAAGTTACTGATTTTTTGACCTACTACTGATATTCCACTCTTCCATCCGTCTAGTACCTTTCGCATAATGTGTTCGCTGTAGATTTTAAACAGAGTTGGCAAAATTATGCATCCTTGCCTGACAACTGCCTCTGTTCTGAAATGATCGGAACCTTTTTGGGTGTTGTTTATTTTTATTGTGCACTTATTATTTTCATATAGACTTCTAATTAGTTGAATTAAGTATAATCCACAAAGCCCATAAGCATAGGAGTAATGAATTCACGAGTTTTTTTCGATTAGCTGTCTGACATTAAGGATGTGTTTCTCTTGTGCCTTTTCCTGGGACATATCCCGCTTGTTCTTCTGATATCTGAGGCAATAGAAAAGCTTTTAGTCTTTCATGTATTATATGAAGTAGAGCCTTGCTTGCATGGGATATTAGGGTTACCGTTCTGTGGTTGTTGCAATCTAGCGGAGTTCCTTTTTTGAATGTAGGGATGAAAGTGTATGTTGTCCAGTCATTGGGCCTCTCTCCGGTTTCTCAAATCTTTTTGCAGATCATATGCATAACATTTACTTCAACTCTATTTTGATTGCTTTTTTTACCTCTGACTTTAGATAGTTTGATTCTCTCTCTGTAGAGAGAGAGAGAGAGAGAGAGAGAGAGAGAGAGAGAGAGAGAGAGAGAACCAAATAGGTTCTCTCCCTCTACAGAGAGAGAATTCTCTCCCAATATTTTCTCCATACCTCCGGAATCCCTTTCTCATCCTTTATAATATGTTGGTTTTGATCCATTATCGTTTGTGTGATTGGTTTAAATTCCCTGGATAGATATCGGACTTTGTTCTAGTTCTTCGCATTTTTCATTTATATGTTTATTTTTATTATCTCTACATGCTCTTTTAATTTCTCTATTTAAGCTTGCTAATTCGTTTTTGTTGCTGTCGTTTTGATATATGAGAGATTTGATTCTCCTCCGCTCTTCGCTCTTCGAGAAGTTGCAGCGTTCTGTCTGTCATCCAATGTTTTCCTTTGATGATATTTTTTCGGTTCTGGTTCTTTTTAAAGAGGTTTCTATGGCATTTCTGAAACCTTTCCCACATTTCTTCTGGTTTGTCTTCTGTGTTCAACAGACTAGTATATTTTAATGCATCTATAAATGTTTTCGGATTTGAAATCTCCAGCCTGTTTTGATTTTGGTGCGGCATTGTTTTTTTCGCTTCATCTTGAATCAAGCCCATAACAATTTATGATCAGATCCACGTTCAGCGCTTGGTCTAGTTTTTACATTTGTAAAATATGTCTTCCATTTGATGCTAATTACGGTACTTTAATGAAACCACTCAACTGCTCAAGCAAAACATTATGAAATGCTCTAAAAGGTTAAGTGAACGTGGAAAACCTGTAGTACGTGGTATAAAGAGTTAAAAAGTGGTGAAGTGTGTAGAAGATGTGCGATTTGCTCTTGTAAAGCTAAAATTTATACTGCCTGTGCCGTAAACTTGATTATACCCAGAAAAAATTGAAAATACTAAATAGGCAGATAGTGAGTGTTGGTGTTAAACGTAAAGCAACCGATGCCATTTGTGAGAGTGAGAAGCCTTGCAAGATAATACATACTTTTTTAATAGAAAATCCTGCTCAGTTAAGTACCTACTTTACAGTCATCGACATTAACTATATTCGTAACACTATTTATAAGAACAGAAGAAAAACTGGTTATATTAAAAAGTAGAATAAACGCTATCGCGTCTATAAAAACAGTGACTATCAAGAAAATAAAAGATAAAAACATTTTTGCCTTCATTACCGATGATATTCAAGAAATTATATGGATATTATATTCCACTTTTTGTTTACTACCAAACAAGAAGGAATGTTCTTACAAAAATGCCTCTTGGCTTCTTCAGAGCAAAGTCTGATTTATATTTCCCCTAAAAAATAATTATTTAGAGTTATTTAAATTAATTAAAGAAGAAATTTAACTAGGCGGGAGTTCAATAAAAGTCTTTTAAATAAAATCAATTACAAAATTGTGGAAACTTCAATAAAATCGCGAATTTTATCTGCAGCTCAAAAAGTTATTTATGCGTAAAATATGACTTCTTCAGCGTTTAAATAATGATCCCGTTATTCGAAACATATAATTGTTGACTATGAATTATTTGAATCGGTGTAAACAAGAACAGTCAGTGACTTAGAATGTTTTTGTAGACCCAGAAAAAAAGGTGTAGAAACGAGGGCTGCTCATAATGTTTATTTTACACACGAGGTACTTGTGGGTGAAACCAGAGAAAAGATATATTTGGAAGCATTTAAGTCGCTATATGGCATTAAAATAAGTCATCTTAGAAGACTTCGTTTGATATTATTAATGGGTAAAACTCCCAAGGATCTTAGTGGGAAAAAAATGTATACGAATGCAATCAGTAGTGGTCATACCAGGTTGCTAATAAGACAAGATATTGAAAGTTATCCATTAAAAGAAAGCAAATATGCAGGAAAGACTATAAAATATTTGGACGCAAGACTGAATGTTACAATTTTATACAATATGTTTAAAGACAAATACCCTGAATCAAAATGCAGCTATTAGTTTTTCTTAGGATTTTTCAAGAAACGAAAAGATTTTTTAACACAAAGAAACGTTGCTGCTGAATTGATGATTCAGAAGCGTAGATGAAAAAAAAAATTTACAATAAATTGAAAAGAGAAAATAACCAAGAAACAAAAGCGAAAGAAACCCATGTGCTAGCAATATGTTTTGATTATATGTAAAATATTCCACTGCCCATGATAGCAGTACAGGAAAACTTCTATTTGAGGCAACTAGCATTGCTTCAGTGTTTTGCATTCATGATATAAAAAGCAGTAAGTCTCATATTTATCTATAGCACGAAGGGACTTCCAGAAAAAGTCCAGATGAGTTTTGTTCCTTTGTACATAACTATTTAAACTCTGCTTCTCCTCAGTTTACGGAAGTCCACATTTATTCGGATAACTGTGGAGGTCAAAATAAGAACCATACATTAAACAGAGCGTTTTTAGCCCTTACCGACAGTGGTCGGTTCAATCGAATTGAGCATTATTATCCCAGCAGGGGACACTCCTACCTTCCTTCTTGTGATAGGTGATTTTTCAATTATCAAACATTCGGTATACACCTTACACCAAATAACTGAAATTATCATTACTTCAAGTATTAGAACAGATAAGTTTCCAGTCACAGAAGTTAGCACAGAAAATATACTAGATTTTCAACATTAGTAGCCAACCTACTATAAAAAGACGTGCATTTATGCGAAAACAAGAAGGAAAAGTGTTCCTGTTAAGGATAAGATATATTTTGGGATAAATTCCTTTAAGCACTTATTTATGGAATAGCTAAAGGTGTGAATGTTTGTAGGTCTTTTATTGATGAGTTATCAGAACAAGCCTATAAACTTTCTGAAGTCAGCAGTCAATCAATTGAATTTCCCATAATATTTTGTTATCCATCCGCTAAAGAACCACTTAAAAAACTGAAGCTTTAAGATATTTGTTGTTGTTTGTTTGTGTTTGTATAACTGCGGACACTAAATCCATTCGCCAGAAGCTTCAAGATATTGGTAAGCTGTTATCCTATATAGTTGATAGTGTCAGACATTTTTATTACGAATAAATGGAGTGGCCAACAACTCATAATCTCAATACTAGAGAAGATGAACATGACATCCAATAGGAAGAAACATGGCATTCTGAAGCGTTCAAAAAATTACTGAATGTTTGTATTTAAAATTTTTACTTAAAATTGTATTTGTTTACATTAAATATATTTTTTTAAGCAAAATGAAAGTTTTTTTGTGTCATTTTATAAATGTAAACAAAAGAGTTCTAAGTCGACAAAACTTGCATATTTATATTAAATATACATATATATTATTTTGTACTCAGGAATATCCCTAATAGCACACGTACGTCCAATGGACGTCCATATCTAATATTACATCTAAAAGTGTCAAAAACACTCCAAAATTGTTTGGTATTTATTTAAATAACTAAAACAGAGTTATACAGAATTTCTAGTTTTCCGCAAAAATGGTTTTCACGACTTAGACCGTTTTTGTTTACACCGATTCATTTGGGCTAAAATGAAAAAATTAACGTAAAGGATTAATACGGATATAAAAAAGAAAAACGTCGCTTTAACAGTATTATTTATTTGTTAAGAAAAAATAAATCAACTCTCAATAAAAATTTTATTTAACATTTATTTCTTTTAATCATTTTTGGATGAGTTTTTGTCACATGATCTTTGCAAACGTCTGGTTTATTATCTTTTAGTAACTTGCAAACAGTAGATGTAAGATCTGTCATAGCTTGATCTTCGATATCTGCATCATAGACGCCATTAAATCTTACATTTGGTACCCAAGGTAATTCGGGATTAAGCTTTGATTGTCTGTCCTCATACGATAATAAAAGTTCAGTTCCACGGTCGCCATGATAACAATCACTAACATTATCCCAGGAAATGCTGCTTGGCAACAACTGCAAAAAATTAAATTAATAAAATAATATCAAAGCTATACTAGAGCTGACGATTGTAATAAAAGTCGATCGGATGGGTTTTGGTTTAGTAAGATGTGGTCATTCATATTTAGGCTTTATTTAAACTCAACTGATATTTTGACATTTTTTTTGTGAATTATCCGAATTTCAAAATCATTATGATTTTGAAATGCAAATTTTATACAAAAATATGAAATGAGGTTTTTGATGGTCTCTTGAGAACTTTCGGTTTATAATGTTAAACACTTTGTACCCCCTTTATGGACAGGGTGGAGGTTACCCAGGAAACGGTACTAGGCTAGGACTTCAGTCTGGTAAAGGTATCTTGGTCGAGATTCTTTGCATCTCAAGTACAAAGAATTAGTTAGTGGAGTACTGAAGATAAAGAGAAGAGAAGTTATAACGTAAAGAGAAGTTAATTGAGCGCACCACCCTATTTTTAAAGAAACAGGGAAACCTACGACATATAAAATAAGATAACGAGAAAGGTAAGGTATGGTTAGAATAATCAGGCGAGAATAAAATAAACCGCGAGAGAAAAGTTATATACATTGTTATAATAATATACATAATAAATCAAATCATAATATCAATCAATAACAATGTCTGAAAGAGACACACCATGAACATGAAATAAATAAATACATAATAAAGTAAAAGGCAAATAGTTCATCAACAGGGTTATTTTGACGTATATTTAAAGTAAATGCTCTATGAAAATTTTATTGAACTGTTAAATAGCAATAAATAAGTTACTGCACAATTTATTGTTAAATATAACGAGTAATATTTTCTGAAAAATAATTATGAGTAATTTAGTATCCTCAAAAATAAGAAAAAGCCAAGGAATATTATAGTTGTAGCTACGTCAATATTTGATAACTTGAAATAAAACAAATGAGTGATTTTACGACTTGAGAATACGTGAACATGAAGTTACTGAAATGTTTGATGGTGATCACATCAAATATGTGTATAAAAATCTCCTGACTAAAAATTATTTGATAGAAAAGAAACATCTCAGCTTTTCTTAGAAAATAAGTTGAGTTGTTCAACAAAAGGAACGAACTTCTTTTTTAAGAGGAAGAGTTTATGTTTAGATAACGAAAGATAATAAGAGAAAGGACCAGATACTATGATACATTTCGTTGTTGCCAGCAGGCGTGACAAATCGCTCGTTACTTAAGGGTTATTTCTAATGGATCTAGCAAAGTTCGTGGACATAGGTGGCGTGAAAGTAATTTTCTGAGAGGAATATTTAAGGAAATTTTAAACATGCTTCAACTTATAGTCAAAAGTATGAACTTAACGCAGTTCTAATTAAAATAAAATATAAAAACAGCCTCGTCAATATATTTTAATTGGTGATACTTTACTTCTACTTATACATATTCCAAAATTCACTTTTTGCAAACTCAGCTAAAGAAACTATACTTACTGATTTGGCCAGTTCTAATTCTTGTCGCTCGTTGCGATCGCGTTCGTCAGTGGCAGATAAATGTTTATATATGAAATTAACGAAGTCTAATGAAGATGGATTTTGATCAAGAACACAAGCGTGGATTCTGTTAATATAACATTCTTCGTCACCATGCTGGCAAGTAAATGTTACTTTTCCATCAGCGCTACGTGAAGATTGCTACAAATAACAAAGAGAGTTTAGTAAAATATGCAAATAGAAATTCGAGAATTGTGTTATGTATAAGTAGTATTCAATATTATCTCGGCCATTCCGATATTCAGAAAAAATAATGGAAAAAAATTCAAGAAAACAATTTAATAATTGCAACATGTAGACATTCAGTTTGTGTATACATTTTTAAAAGAAAAAATTACGTTATAGAAATAATAGCTTATCAAAATATCTTATTCAAAACAACTATTGAGCTGTGCATAAAGCTAATCAAGAAAATATTTATACATGGAAAACTCGTAAGCAACATCAAAGTCTTCGACAGTTTTGAATCGTTACAAGATTTTGTGAACAACACCAATGAATACGAAAACTAAATTTATCTTCTTATTATTTTTATATAGACATGACTCTCTCTCCAGTAAGTTGTCGTACCATCGTTTTCGTGGTGTTCCTACTGATCGTCTTCCTACTGGGGAACTGCCTCTTACCGTCTTTACTACTCTATTTGTTGTCATTCTGCTTATATGATCGTTCCATTCTACTTTTCTATTTCTTACCTAGTTCTTGATGTTCTTCACCTTGCATCTACGTAGCATATCTGTATTTCTAGCTCTGTCCCATAATGTCTTATCATCAATTCTTCTAAGTGTTTTTATCTCTGCTGTTTCTAACATCCTTTTTGTCCTCTATGTGTCAGGTTTTGTTTCTGCTGGATATGTCATTATTGATCTGATGACTGTTTTGTAAATTCTGCCTTTCGTGTCTTTTCCAATATTTTTATTTCTCCATATTGTTTCATTTAGGCAGCCTGTAGCTCTGTTTACTCTATTCACTTGATCTTCCACTTCGGTTTCGAGCTTTTCATAGCTAGATAATGTAATGCCTAGATATTTAAACTCCATCACTTGTTCTATTATTTGATCTTCCAGCTCCAATTTACATCTTAGTAAATTTGCTGTTGTAACCATGCGTTTTATCTTTTTTGGAGAAATTAACATGTTAAATTTTCTGGCGGTTATATTAAATTGGTGCAGCATACGTTGTAAATCATCTTCACTTTGAGAGAGTAGAATTGCGTCGTCTGCATAGCAGATTATTTTAAGTTGTTTTTCTCCCATTTGGTATCATTTTTTAGTTCTTTCTTTTTATTATTTCGTCCATAATCAGGTTAAACAATAGAGGACCCAGGGAATCTCCCTGTCTTATCCCATTGCCAGCTTCAGTAGGGTAGGTTAGTTCTTCGTTTACATCTACTTTTGTTGCGTTATTTTGGTAGATATTTTCGATAGTTTTGATTATTCCTAGAGGTATCTCTCTTTCATACAGAAAGTGGATAATGTCTTTTAATTTGACCCGGTCAAATGCCTTGTAAGGTCCACGAAACATAGATATGCCGGTTTGTTGTATTCTAATGATCGCTCTTGTACTTGCTCTAAACTAAAACCTTGTTCTTCTGCTAGTGTTATAATTTTATTAAATTTATTTATTATCACTTTGGTTGTTAATTTTAGTGTTGTATTTAATAAATTAATTCCTCTTGATTTTCCGGGTCCGATTTGTCTCCCTTTTTGAAGAGAGGTATTAGGATGCTTGATCTCCATCCTTGAGGAATTCTGTTTTGTTCTATTATTTTTTGGATTAGTTTTAATAGTTATTTGGTCAGATCTGGTCCTCTGTACTTTAGGAGTTCATTCGGTATTCTCTCCTGGTGATTTTCTATTTTTTAATTTCCTTAATGTTTCCTTTACCTCTTCCTGCTCAATATTTATTTCTTCGTTTGTCGTCACCTCTGGTGTTGGTGGTTCATTATCGTCACATTTAGCAAATAGAGATCGAAAGTAGTTAACTCATGTTTCCTTCTGAATGTGTTTCGTTTTTATTAGTTCGTTTATCTCTTTTCTTTGTCCTCTGATCATTCTCCATATTTCTTTTTGCGTTTCGTAGAAATCGTGTTCCATTTATTTTGAGAAACTCTGGCACTGTTCCTTTTTTATTTGTCTAACTAAACTAAATTTATGATAGCATTAAATAAAGATGAAACCGTTATGATAGAGCAAACTCAAATAAAGATAATGAATTGATTGCCCATAAACTGAGTTGTAAAATTAAATTACATACTTTCTTGCAATCTATTTAGCTAGCAACGACTGGATTCGACCACTACACTTATATGGTCATCAACAGGTCTCCGGTAAAGTCAGTAAAGTAAAGAAAACCGGTAGTCCCTTGATAGATTGTAAGGCTATAATTTTTTCTACAACCCAATTTCAAATATAAATGTGTACAAATTTATGGGAACAATCTGGGAGCAGCATTTGTTTAAAATATTTTTCAAACACATCAGTGTTTATGTACTCGTAGTAGTCGTCCATTTTTTTGTATTCAAATAGGAGCAACCCTTCTTTAAGAAAACCCTCAGAACTCCCAATGTGGGAAATTATAAGACTTCTCCATTTTCCTGACGATGCTTTAATACCTGTGGACAATCCCTCCAACACAACTTGGCGGTTGCTTTTAACAGTTAGTTTTGCCATACCTTAAAAACCGTATGGCCTTCATCTACCCATGTCTCATCTAAATAATATATTCTTCGGCTTTTTTCTCTGTGCTGTTTAATTTTTCAAAGATACTGTTTTCTCCAAGAAACGATTTCCGGACTGTCCATTAACATTGATTTTCTGTTAATGGTTTCCCACGAAAAATTTACTTCGTGAAGTATCTTCCACAATCGAGTTCTACTGATGCCCACTACATCATCATCTAGCAATGCGGCATCAATTTTTGAAATTGTTGGAATTTCTTTGGCAAAATAAAAAGAGTAAACCTTTATTCGAATTACACTTTTAACATTTTCATTAATTTGCAGTGGTCGTCTCCCTGATTTTACAACAGGCTTCGTTGACCTCTTGGAACATCCAGTGTACTTTGCGCACATTTCCACAACACTGTCTAAAGAGCACGTAGCATTATCATGTTGAAATGTTTTGAAAACATTTAATATGATGATCTTTTCATTGGCCGAGAACGCAGTGAGCCGTTTTGCTGGAGAAAAATCTGCCATGACGCCGTTACGAAAATCTATGCACACAGTTGCCAGATTTTATATAATTTATGAAGATAAAAAGAAAAACACAAAAAAATTAACATGCGTTAAGACGTTTTAAAGAAAAAATATGTTTCTGCATAAAAATAAGGTAGTGCCATGGCTCTGTGGCATTACCTCTCGGGCCACCACTGATTTAAAGCTGGAAACATCCTATATTATAAGCACATTATTATCTATTAACAAATATTTTCACTTACACTCCATCCAAAGGGAATCAGGTCCAATTTTACGCTATCTGCCAATTTTTCGTATGAAGGATATAGCTGTGTTAGGATAAATTCATGACAACCAGGGCATAAACCTTCATAAAACAGGGTAAGAGTCAAATCAGCCTCCTGAAACAATAATTTAAATATAATGAGTGATACAAATACCCAACAAAGCAAAATGTAGATAATTGTAGAAAAAAGAATCTATTACATATATTAGGTTGAGTTAGATATAAATTAATTTCTATTTAAATCGCCGAAAATCAAATAAAAAAGTGTTTAATAGAATCAAAACATAATCATCTAAAAAAGTATAAACTGCATTAAAGGAAACCAGATGAAACACTACAAGAATCTCATGGCACCTGGGGCAACACTGCATTTTAAACAAATTAATTTTAGTTAAAGGTATGTTTATATCATATTAAATAATGAGATTGTGTATTGTATAGTACATAAAATTCAGGTTTTATATTTAAAATGACTAAGAAAATAATATACTTGCATTTTGACTCACCCTATATTCGTTATAAAGAAAATTAGGCGTATCAATCATTTATGACAATAAATACAAAATGTGAAAGTAATAGATTATTACTATTTAAATGGTAATAAGCCACAATTAAAGGTTAAAGTACGTTTATTGACATTTCAATTTCCACTTCGGAAATCGTTCTCAAACTACCAACAGTGTTTGTATTAATTAATTTAAAATGCTACAAGAAAATAGCTTCAGAACAATATAATAGATTATTGTTATTGTGCTTCATTATCCAGGGAGTTGAAGTTGTTACTGTTTTCATATCAAATCGGTTATGACTTTGCAAATACTTTGTATAACATAATGGAACTTTATACTATTATAATAGGGAAAAGGAAGAGATTTCAAATATAAAATAAAATACAGGGTATTCCATTAAAAAAAAAAAATTTAGTCTGCCACTACGCTATCCATCATCCTTCCAACTAATTTTGTAATATGAAGCTTAAATGACCCTCAATGATCCCAAAGCGAAAAAAGCTTACCTAAAATACATGTCAACCAAAACACAAGAGGCATCATAATTACAAGATGATAAGAAACGAAACACATATACATGTAAGAAAAATAAAAAATGATCACTGGAACGCTTTCGAAAGAAATGGAACAGGATTTTTATGGCCTGCAAAAAGAAATATGGCGCCTTATGAAAGGTCAAAGATTGAAGGTAAAGGAACTAATAGAACCAGAACAAATAGAAACGAATTCATAAATTGACTACCTAAAAAAGATGTATGCAGAGGAAGAACAAATGACGCTAGACTCGGAAACGCCAGAAATTACCACAAATGAAAAATTTAATATAAGTATACAGGGAGTTCGTATAATACTTTAAAAGCTAAAGAACAGAAAAGCAGCAAGTAAAGACGGGATACCAAACGAATTACTGAAATATTGTGGAGCAGCAATAACAGAACAATTAACAACATTAGTTAATACAATTATAAAACACAATAAAATAGCGAAAGAATGGAGCATGGGCGAACTAATTCTACTATTAAAAAAAGGAGATAAAAAACAACCAGAAAACCACAGAAGTATAAACTTGTTAAATACTTCTCTAAATATCATGTACAGATGCAATATTCGTTATAAAGCTAATTACTGAGAAAGCACTAAAGTATAATAGACCAGCATTGCTGTGTCTGATCGACTTAAAAACAGCATTTGACAGAGTAAGACTCAAAGATGTAATCTATCTTCTGTATAATAGGAAAGTTCCCCTAAATATAATAAAAACTTGAAAAAATTTACCAAAACAACAAAATTAAAGTCAGAATAGATGGACAACTTACATAAGAACAGAGTATAAACTTACAGAGTAAAAACCTTCTATAGAGGTATTAATCCGCCAATGAACAATTAAAATTTTGTTTGTCATAAGAACTAGAAAATATAAATTTTAGACAATTGTTGCAAGAAAATTAATGCTGCTCAAATTGTTGGAGTAAGGAAAAGAACTACTAAAGGTGAATTTCCTCGTCCAGAAGAAAGTCTGGATGATTGGCTAAGACAGTGTAGAGGACAAAAGTGTCTATTAGCGGAAACTAGTTGAAAGAAAAAGCAAAAGAGTTCGCGTCTACTCTAAGCATCAAAAACTTTGCGGCAAGTGAAGGGTGGTTTACAAATTTCCAAAAGAGAAATGGAGTTGTGTTTAAAAAGTTTGTGGGGAAAGTGGAAGTGTTGATGATGCAGTTTGCTTAGATTGGCACGGTAAATTAAAGACCTTAATTGAAAACTATGATGACCGAGACTTCTTTAATTCTGTTGAAACTAGCATTTTTACCGGACAAGACGCTTACTTTTAAAGATAAAATATGTCATGGGGAAGACATAGTAAAGAGAGATTGACAGTTTTACTTGCAGTAAATATAGACGAATCGGAAAAACTTAAACCCTTAGTGATAGGAAAAGCAATAAAACTGCGATGTTTCAAAGGTATGAAATTATTTTCTACGGATTATCATGCTAACAAAAAAGCTTGGATGACCACAGAACTTTTTAACAATTGGCTTTTAACAGTTCATGGGAACATGAGATAGCAAAAGCGGAAAATTTTACTATATTTAGACAATTGCACTGTCCACAACAGACCTCTTACATTGTCCAACGTGGAACTCTACTTCCTTCCGCCAAATACAACTTCCAAATTGCAACCATTGGACCAAGGAATCATCCATGGTTTTAAGACGTTCTATCGCAAAGAAATTGTTAAGCTCGTTTTAGAATCTCTCGACAAGCAGCTAACTGCAAATATCACGGTTCTGACAGCTATTTTACTTATTAACAAAGCATGAAAAGGTGTAACACCCCTAACAATTCTCAACTGCTTCAACAAATCCAATTTCTTAAAAGAAGATCAGGAAAATCTTCCAATACTTATGGATAATGAAAAACTTGCAATAGAAACATTAGTTGACATCAGTAGTGTGAGTTTTCTGACTTTGTTCAAGTGGATAAAGATTTTGCTGTCTCAGATTCGGTTAAAACGCTGAATATAAACGAAGGCGAAACAGATGTGAGTGCTACAATCAATGACGAAGAAGTAGAAGCAAAGATCAAAAAGCTAAAAAACAGAAAATCACCGGGAACGGATGGTATACCCAATGAACTTTTAAAATATGGAGGCCCGGAACTTGCAAGTAAACTGGCACAACTATTTAACAAAATATTAAACAAAACAGAAATACCAGAGGAATGGCATAATAGTATCACAATCCCCATATTTAAAAAAGGACAAAAAACCTGCCCACAAAACTATAGAGGAATAACCCTCTTAAATACAACAATGAAACTTTTCACGGGTATTCTCAAGGACAAATTGGAAAAGCAAATCACTAATGCTGAAGAACAACAAGGTTTTACAAAAGGGCGGTCTATAATAGACGCAGTATTTGTAATAAAACAAATAAAAGAAAAAGCTATAGAGTTCGGCATGCCAGCGTATATTTGTTTCATTGATTTGACGAAGGCATTTGACAGAGTTCGCCTGGGAGACATTCTAAATATATTAATAGAAAATGAAACACCGACCAGTATAACAACAAACAACGTAACCAAAGTTAGAGCAGGAGACGAATTCACTGAAAATATTCCAACACCGGGAGGAATTAGACAAGGCGACAGTTTAAGCCCCTTCTTGTTTAACCTTCTCATGGGCAAAATTATCAACAAAGTAACATCTCTTAATCTCGGATATAGAATGGGCAACAAAAAAATTGGTATGGTGTGCTACGCAGACGATGCAGCAATTATTGCCGAATCAGAAGATGATCTCCAAAGGCAGCTCTTTCAGTTCTTTCAAACAAGCCGACTATTAAATATGAACATCTCTACCAACAAAACTAAATGTATGACAATAGCAAAAGATCCGCTCAGATGTAAGTTAGTGGTTGAGGACAACCCCATAGAACAGGTGATGCAATTCAGATATCTGGGCATAGATATATCAAGCACCCATGACCCAGTAAAGGACCTGAGGAGTCAGATCAACAAAGCATCTGCACTGTCAGGATGTCTGCGGGAGATAGTCTGGTCTAATCCGTATATGCGCACAGATAGTAAAATTAGAATCTATAAGACTTGCATACGACCGATCATGACATATGGCATAGAAGTGCGCGAAGATACCAACAAAACGAAACAGATGCTAAGGGTTGCCGAAATGAAAACCCTAAGAACAATAATGGGGAAAACAAGAAGGGACAGAGTGAGAAATACAAACATTAGAGAGCAGTGCAAAATTCAAGATATTGTAAGATGGGGAAGACAGCGCAAGAGGATGTGGTACAACCATGTAACACGAATGGATGAGAATAGACTCCCAAAAATTGCCCTAGAAAACAATCCGCCTGGTTCAAGACCCCCCGGAAGACCACCTAAAAGATGGAGGGATAGTTGGCAATCTACCTCCCAAGAAATTAACCAGAGGCAGCTTCAGAATTAAACAGATCGAAAGATCTACAAAAAATAGAAGAAGAAGAAGAAGATTCGGTTAAAATTTTATCTGCGACAGATACAAATGAAAAAAGTACATCTGGTCCTTTGGCAGATGTGTTAGTTAAGGTATCAAGATCCTCATTCGATACAAAACGAAAGTGATGAAAAAGCACTTTCGGCACTTTTTCTCTTAAAAAAATTATTGAGCAGTCTGACCAGCAGCAGTGTGCTTTGAAGCAAAGCAGTATAATACAGTTCTTTCGAAAGAATGATTAATTCACGTTATGAATACATACATGTATGTACACGAATGTACCTCTAAACTTATGCCATCGTTATAGAATAGCAGTTAATAAATAACTCGAACCATTTAATATTTCACATTCAATAATTCGTAATATTTTAAGAGTACCTCGAGTTTCGAATTAACGAGAGTCGACTATATATATATATATATATATATATATATATATATATATATATATATATATATATATATACATAATTTATAATGAAATCATAATACAATACAAAGTCCAAAAGTATATTGAAAATATTGACTGATATTAATTTTTACCTGCACACTGGATGACACGCACACTGTGGCTGCCAAGAACAATACCAATTTTGATAGGAACATCTTGGT